AAAGACTGGATACATACCTTAATGGGTTCTCCTTCCATGTATACTAATATTTTATTGCTTTGTGACTCCATTTATAAGTTTTGTGAGGTTTTGATTTGTTTGAATTTGGAGATTTTTTGGAGGATTTGTAAGAAAATGAAGAAGAAGATAGGTTTAAGGGGTTTGGATTTGGGGAGAAGAAGATAGTGTTTTTTTTCTTTTTTATCCTTGGTATTGAAATAAGAAAAAAAAAATTGTTTGTATAAATTGTATTTTGTTTGATGAGGGATATTTTAGTAATTTGTTAATAAAAGAATTTATTTGTGATATTAAACTAAGAAAAAATTGTAAAAGGTTTTATAAAAGGTGATTTTAAACTCAGTGGTATTGAAGTGAGAAAAAATTGGTATTAGTTTTAGCCCCGAATATAATTTGCAAATAAGTTATTTATAATTTTTTAATCTTTTATTCATGGCAAATTCAGACATTGGTTTCGAGGGGTAAATATGGTTTGCAAATAAGAGATTTCTTTAATCTCTTTCTATTCATCAATAATTTAGAAGGTGTTTGTAAAAGTTTTTAGAAACAACTTTTGAAATTTTTTTGCTGGTAATATACTATTTAATGAGTTTTTGCTTTTGCTTCTCTTAATATAAGTTTATTTAAACCATGTGGATGCGAAAGTAAAAGGAAAGAAGAGATACACTCTGACATTATCGAAATTGCAATAGTTAGATCTCGTGGCTCGAAAATCACGCAATTAACTTCCTAACCGGAGGTCCTTTAGGCTTTTCAGTCCAAATCTCGCACCAAGTATTCCCCCTTGGATTGCTCAACAAACACAGCCCATTATCCACCACGTACCACACACACTCCGGCGAACATTGTCGTCGTCGTACACATTGTTATATCCACGCCCATACGTTGTACGAATGTCGCAATCGAACTTTGTGGACCCTCAAATATTGGGCCTGAAATGCCACGAGGAATATTGTTGAAAGTCGACCACGTGTCCTCCAAGATCACATCGTCTCATGACTTGCAGCGAATTGTGATTGGCCGGTCGCCGATGTTTACAATCACCACCCTCGTTTTCACTGGAAGTGAATCGACGGCTGTGATCGAAAGCAAGACAAGTGCCGTCGATATCGCAATTAGGACGATTAATAGAACAAATAGCTCCATTTTTTCGCTACTATTATTTTGTGTTATTGTCAAGAATGATGTTATTACCTGTCGCATATTGGTATTATTTATAAGTGAGAATTATAAATAATTCTTGCTACTGTATGAATATAACTAACTAACTACATGATTGAATTGCATTGGGTTGAAACTGAATCCATTAACTTATATAGCCTCTGTTTTTTTCAGAATAAAACCTAACACTTAACCAAAATGTATTATACACTGGATAACAAAAATCAACAATAACAACGTTACAAATTTTGCACACAAATTTCAAAATCGAAACATCCATTTCTTTTTCCCCCCTTAAATCTCTTCTCGTCGAATAGCCGAAGTACCAGGCGGCACCACCATCGTCTCATCTTTACCAACAACAGATTCTTCCGGAACATTCTTGTCCTCAAACTCGCCATCTTCGCACTTCAACGCGGTCAAAGTCAACTCATGGCCACTTTTACGACAAAACTTATCCTCGACAATATCATAAGAATTCCCAGTCCTCACCTCCTGCGCTAAAGTGCACCAACAGCAGAACAGCCACAAGGCGCAGTCAGCCACAGCCGGTTTACCGCAGCAAAACCCGTACCCCGGCAAATTAAACCTCTTCCTCATCTGAATCCTCCAAAACCCACCGTACAGCAAACCGAACACGCACAGAAAAATTCCCGTCACACCCAACGCCTCCCTCACAGTCTCGTTGTCGATGTTCACGGCCGCCAAATTAAATATCCAAAACGGAGCCATGCAAAAAAGAAGAAAAGTCGCGATGTGCACGTACATATTTCCAAACCCTAGCCTCTCCATGTTCCAACCAAACACGCAGAAGCTACAAAACAACGAGAGATAAGCTAATGAAATATCGTTCCAAAAGTCCAAAATGCCCCCGCTCCACAACGGCGCGGACTCGACCGTTTTACCCTCGTCCCTCATTGCGAACGAGAATCTCTTCTCGAACGATCTTCTCCTATTAATACTACTAACGTCGACAATCTGCGCTTCTTCATCGAGGTCGTTTTCGTAATCTTTCCCGAGCGGGCTAAGCATGCAGTAAACGCCCGCAACTGCCGGGGCTCCGATCGCAACGGATATACATATTCCAACTCCGATAGGGGGCCGATCGGACCTTTTGTACCCTAGATTTAGCCCGCAGAGCGCGTATTGAGCGAAACAATTTACGTTAAGTAAGAGAACAACGAGCATCATGTGGGCCCACTCATGGGGTTTGTAGGTCCCGTTTTTGCAGTAGGCTTTTCTAAGCTTGATGACGTCTTCGTGGGTCCATCGAGTAAGTAAGACGAGGTGGTATATTCTTTTGGGGTGTTGGTATAAACACATGAGGGTGAAGAGCGCGTTGAGTATTTGGTTGTTGACTTCGAACCAAGTGTCCCGTTGGGATTTTTTCGGGAGGGCGTGGTTCAGCATCCCGATCATGACCATGAAGAGGATCGCGCCGGAAACCGCTACGCAGACGATCCATATGAAGAGGGCTAGGTTCATCGGGTTCCGTATCCATTCTTTGCTGATTTTGCCGAGGCTCGTGAAATCGATCTTACGGGAGAATACTCTGTTGAAGCGTTCGCGTATGTGGAGACTGGTGGACGAGGAGGAGGGGATCGTGCGCGAAATTACATCCCTCTCGTTGGCGATGCGGGAGAATTTCGCGGAGGGGGAGTCGAGTTTGCCGAATTTGAGGAAGTTCAGTCTTTTCGAGAGTGGCGAAGAAACTTTGCCATTTTCGGTACCCTTTTCGGAATTGTTATCTTGTTCGATTACGAGATTCGTTTTCGAGGTTGAGATGCGAAGAGGGGCGTGGCTTTTGACCTTGCCGACACTATTATCTTCCCCAGTTTCAGTTGAAGCCATTTCTTGCTGCTGGAAATATTAAAATCAGCAGGATTAATTATTTTCAATGCTTTCATAAAAAAAATAAAAAAATAAAAATATATATATATATATGTAAACCTAAAAACCCAGAAGCGATTGCGCACAAACAGTAAGGAAAGAAAACCAAAATTCAATCCGTACAAGTATATTTCTACCATAACCTAGATTTCTTTTTTTTTTTTCTAATTTAAACAATAACACAATTAAAAGTAAAGATAAAACAAATCAGCAGCAGTACCCAATAAAGATATACAGATGAAACCCAGAAACAACTGCGCAAGAAATAAAGAACAAGATACAGAAAATAAAAAAAAATTAAAAAAACACACACACACACACACACAGTGACGCAGCACTCACCTATCTTGAACAGATGAGCATTTGGGTGTGGAAGAATCGCAAAAAAAAATTGATGGTTGAGGTTGAGGTTGTTCAGCTAATTCTTTAATCATTCATCAACCCAAGAAACAAGAAGATCATATTATTACAGCTTTTATTTTCCTCAGTATTTCTGTGTTATTACAGAGCTATAACCACCCTGTAAGAAACTTCGAAAGGCCGGAAAGCATCCAGGTGACAGCACAACTCAGACCAGCACAACTCAGACCACTGAGGGGGTGGGGGGGGGGGAATGGGGGGAATTACAAAAGATCTGGGGAATGTAGGGTAAATTACGAAAATACCCCTTAACTTAGGCCAAATAACAAAAAATGCCCCCATTTGTCCGTAATACCCAAAACCCACTTCCGATTAACTGTTGGTTGAGTTTTTTAAACAGAAGAATGGTGTGGCAAGTTTATTATACCTTCTGTTAAATAGGTGATAAATAAAAATATTTGAAATTATGTAAATTCTATTCCCTGAAATGAAAATAAAGAAATCGGTAACAAGTCACACTGTAAGGAGTTGGTGTAAGACGGAAAAACAAACCTTGAGGAATTTTTGATAATTACGAATAGGTGGAGATGGTTTTTGTAATTTAATGTAAGTTTAGGGGGGGTTTTGTAAAATATCAAATAACAAAAGTCTATGTAATTTGTCAAGTGATCTGGTCCAAGGTTTTGGGCTTCATTTTTTATACACAAAGTTACCAGTTAAAGTTCGTTTTTTTACTAAATTTAATAATGTTTATATCTTCTCGTTCAAATATTTTACTGTAGCGTATTAATGGGGATAAGAATATGACTACTGAGTGTGGTGGAATATATATATTTTTTTTTTTTTTGTTTGGCATTTAAAAAGATATTGACACTTTGACAGGCTGGTAGGGTGGGGGGTGAAGCATAATGGAGTCTTCCTATTGATTAAATGAATTAATAAATGGTGATTATGTCTAAGCTTTCAAATAGTGTGGTGGGGCTACACAATTCATTGCATGGGTGGATCAAATGAAATATACATACTACTTAAATCTCCATAAATTAATACAGTTGGAACCATCAAAATTCTATGAATTTATTGAAGTATTAAGTATTAACATATCGATAAATTAATAATTATTAATTTATACATTAATAAATAACTTATTAATTTATAAAATTATTTTTATTATTATTTTTAATAAATACATTTTTTTTAATTTTTTTACGAGTATATTATTCATTGTGCCATTAGCTCAATTACATTATAGAGCCCGTTTCACGAACTGAAGCTCTTAAAGCGACAATTGTATTGAACAATTTTCTATTGAGTTATAAGAATACTATACCAAAAGTTCTAACTATGCTAAGAAAAGTGAGGGATAAGATTGATGGTAATATGAACTTCATCAAGAAACAAGCGACAATTAAATTATATTTTATTGAGTCATCATAGATCTATAAAATATGAATTGTACCCTGTAATTTAAGAATTATTTTTATGCATTATTAATTTATATATTATATGGGGCTTCTTAAAATTTCCAAATGTGTATTATCTTATAAATTTAGCGAATTATTAATTTAGCACGTTGTCCCCGAGTCAGGACCGCCAAAATTTATTATTTAAGCAAGGTTCTACTATATATATATATATATATATATATATATATATATATATATATATATATATATATATATATATATAGGGCAAATTTCACTTTCTCCCCTTATACTTTAGGTCAGAATAGTTTTACCCATTCTACTCTCAGTTGCATCAGTTTGACCTTGACAGCGTTGAGTCAAGGTAAGTAAATTACAAAATAAGCCCCTTTCAAAGCACCATATGCATGTCTTTCTTTCTCTCTCACCCCAGAACGCACACTCTCTTCTCACACACAGTCCTTGGAGATCTTCTTTCAGACATTCAATTTACCACAAAAGAGTGCAAGCATTTACAGAAATAATCAAAAAATTACAAACATTTGTGTTGGAGAGAGTGTTTTTTTAAGTGAGAGAGAGAGAGAGAGAGAGAGAATTTAGAGGTGGTGCTTTGGGGTGGGTGTTTTTGTAATTTCCACGCCTTTCACTAAACTGTGTCAAGGTAAAAAGTTTGAAAACTAACGTTAGGGCCACATTAGGACAACTTTACACCCGTAAGGGGGTAAATCAATTCAATCGAGAGTAGAATGAGGTAAAATTATTTCGACATGGAGGATAAGGGGTGAAAGTGGAATTTGCCCTGCCATTCATTTGCCATTCATTCACATACAAAAAGATATGCACATCTGTATTGGTGTATGCAATGGTGTATGCAGATGAACGTATTTTATGTATATTTCGTCTGATGTAGCATAAATTTAATCGAGATACACGATCCTACTACTTTCATGGTTCACTAAAACTCGGTCAAGGATTTCCTCGAAGAAAGAAAGAAAGAAAAAATGTGCTCAAAGAAAATTAACATAAACGAGACAATCATCACGAAACAAAGTTCACATCTTTATAAAAAAAAAAACGTAAAATCAAGAAGAAGGAAAAAAAATAGGCTCTATCGCTTTCAAGGCCTCGTTATACATACAAGGGTTGTCTTCCAAGCATCCTATGAGTTAAAGAGTAATAACAAAATTAACGCCAAGACCAAAAAGTAAACAACTTCAAACCAAACCATTCGTCCCGAATAAGGTTAATAATCCGAGCATTCAAATTAGATAATGATCACCATAAGTATATAACATATTGAAGAGGTATGCCGTATGCAGGTACTTCTTAGCAAGAGCATTAAGTAGAGCAATTCTTCGTCGTCCCAAATATACGAAACTTGCTTCTTTACGGAACTTCCGAATCTTTCGCAGGTCGGTGGAGGTTATATAAAAGCCTCGAAGCCGTTATAAATAACACCAATAAAAATTCAAAATACCGTAGCAAGAAAAGATGAAATCGAAAAACTCGGAAGCAATGCACACTGTCAGTGAAGAAAGGAACCAGAATTTGTTTGTACAAGTATCTAACATAACCAGATAAAGAAATACGAAGATTATTACAGCTCTTATTTACAATACTAACCTGTAAACTTCGAAGAAGCCCGGAAGCATCCAATTCACAACGGAAACCCAAGTGGCAAAATGTAAAATACGTAATTTCAGAAGTAAAATTGGAAAATTATATGTATGAGGATAATTAACAAAAGCTGCAGTAAATTATGTTCAATAGCGAGACTTAATAAATTATTATGACATATAAAAGACTTAGGTGGTGGTTGCAAAAGCTTTTCCGTAAGCAGAAGTTAGTGATTATGAGTTAAGTTGAGAATACATGTAATTCTAAAATTTGGGGTGGTTGCAAATATCATGAACAATCAACTTATAGTAACCAATAGAGAAGTTATAGTGTTTGCAAATAAACTTTATTTTTAAACTTATATTAGTGAAGTATCTAAATTGTCCTAATAATTGAAATTTGGATAAGAAACATAAGGGTAAAAATGTCAAATGTATGTTTTTAATTACTTATAGAAGTGCTTTTAAATTGGAGAAGCAGCTCCCGAGATGCTTCATAGATTATGGCTTAAAGCTGCTTATTTTTAGAGAAGCAGAAGCAAAAGCTCATAAATTAGTTTCGAAAAGCTTTTGCAAACACCACCTTAGAAATAGTGGATTTAGTTCCACACTCGGATTTTTTTAAACTATTCGTGAATGGAAAGTACTATCGCTTTGAAGACGGATATATACCAAATGTAACTTACGGTCTTTCTTAAAAGCCAAATCTTAAACGAGGTATGAATAAAATATGCATGTATGTGACAATACAAAATTAGAATTACTTTAACGAAAGATCAGAAGTTAAAAAGGAAACCGAAAGAAACCTTCACTAACAAGTTATCTCAATCAGTCGAACACATCTCCAAACCTTCAAAATCAAGACGCTCTGCACAAACATTTATGAACAAGACATAATTTTGCTAAAAAAAATATGAACATGACATTTACGGTAAAATTCGTACGTGGTATAGAACTTAATACAGTCAGAGAGAGAGAAAAGCTCTTATACATACATAGTACATACATTCTCAGATGGCTCCACAAAGAGCTTACAAAATTCTACCGACAAATTTGTTTGCCTATCCAATACCTATTTCTACTCTGCAAAACAAGAGTTGAAAAGAAAAACGAACGGTCACAATTTCTCCAACAATCAAATCAACAAGTGTAATTCGTTATATAGTTTCATCCGTATCCGAAGAAAACTTATACCGAACAAAAAAAATCCAAAAAGACAATAATTTGACTAAGTAAGCTTATTTTAAACGTCTGATTTAAAGAGCTGATAAACTGTTACGTCTTATTTTTCAAAATTTTCATCGAAGAAACACATATCGTACTCACTCAAAATCAAGAATCATAAAAATTGCCAATTAAAATCCATTTACCACATCCATAAACACCAAATGGATCATCTATTTTTTATCTTCTAATTACTAAAGTCTTTCAATTAAACTAATTTAAATATATATTAAAATTTGAAAGGTTAATTAAACATCCAATTAAACATGTATTCAAAATAAATAAATTAATAAAAATAAAAATATGCAATTAAAAAATATATATATACCTTCAGTATGGTGTCTAACGAGTGCAAAGTAACCAAGAACAGCGCACACCGCAGCAACAATATTCCCTTCCTTGATCAAGACCCTGACAACAAACCCAGTAATCTCAGCCGTCAATTTCTTGCCCTCGAGAACAAGAGTTTTTCTGGGCTTCCCACAAAAGGTCAGTAGCACGAGCACGGTTATCCACGTCACCAGGGTCGCCGGAACTGCAACGGCCAGCGCCGCCACCATCGACAGAACACCGAAACATGCGCCCAGCAGCACCGATCCGTACAGAGCGGACCACGCGGAGGAAGAGGATGATGATTCACGAATTTCGTACCAGGAGAGAACGGATTTGAGGAGATTCCATGAGAGAGAAAGTAGTACTGTGTAGACGGAGACGAAGAGACAAACCCATGTTCTTCTTTTGCTCATCAGTTTTAGGAGTAGCATTTTCTTGTTTGGAGGAATTTTCTTCAATTGGGTTTTTTTTTTCTTCTTTTTTTTTTAAATTTTTTCTGTTTCTTCTTCTTCTTCCAGAATAAAAAGTGGAATTAAAATGTTGTGAAATTCTATGAAAAAAGAAATTTCTTTATAGGTGACAATTATTGACTGGAAATTTCTTTATGGTGTCCGGTTGAAAAATATAAGTCTCATCTCGGACGATTATTTTTCGAGGTTGGTCAAAGTCTTTTAAATTTTAATTTCTCTTTTTTTATTTCCATTTTTTTTTTCTTTTTTATATTTTATTAGTTTTATTTTTTTTATTTTGCAAGAATGGTCAAAGTCAGATATTTAAGGACTCGAGATTTTTGTTGTGGGTGTTTTCGAGTGAAAAAACGGAGGGTAATTTTATAGATCTGTATAAATAATTATCTATTAAACAAACATACATATCAGTGTATGTTATTATATCTAGATAATGATGCATAATCGTCGGTGTATTTCACCGAGTGTAGTCGGGTGAGTTTATCCTTGGGCAAGGGTCTCATTTGATAATTTACCCCTAAAACTATGCTTATTTTAATTCACTCAAATTTTATTAATTAGCCTACCCAATTTCAAATTACTAAAATAAAACCTCATTTATTATTAATTAGTCCATCAAAATCCAAATTAAGCAACAAAAATTTTGTCACAAAAAAATCCTCAAAAAAGAAAAAATAGGAGCCGGTGACTCCGAACTCAGAAAAATTAGAGGGTGTAGTATCTACGGAAGTGTATTCGAGGGTGCGGATGTAGCGTAGTGATTGGGATAAGAATATGAGTGTGATGGAATATTGGCCAAATTTAATAAAGTAGATAAAAGCTGCTGGCTCCACTTATGCTGTTGTTTCACTTTGAATCTTCATTGATGCTCCTTTTATTTATTCATTTTTATTTTACTTTTTTGTATTTATAATGATGTTGAAATGGGAATGTAGATGCCCAATAGAAATTTACCCAATGTATTTACTTTATTGGATGTAAAGCATCTTCAAGAGATGTACTATATACTGAATTTCAGCAAATTTTACAATTATTGATAAATAAATAAAAAATAGAGCTCCAACAGCTGTTTTATATTATAAATATATTTTAAATTCCACTTTTTAAATTTGAAAGACCAAGCATTGAAATGGCAAAAAATATAATAATTATGTATAAAAAAACATATTGTAATGAGTAGTGTGTCAAAAGTGATGTGTTAAAATATAAATGACCATTGCTGGAGTGACTCAGAAAAAATGGTGTGCTAAAACACTGTTCATTGTGCATAATTTATAAAAAGTGACAAATTTTAGAATAGCTGCTGGAGTTGCTCTTAAATGAACAATGTTTTAGCACATGATTAATTAAACAGTTGAACTTTGTTTGATGTTTGATATCCGCAATAACTTGTTAGACAGATCCGCAAATATTATGTTATCATGATTTATCTTGTCTTATATTACTTATGAGGGAGCTTTTTTGTTGAATGTCAAAAGATCTAATAAAATAATTGAGTTTTCATTGAATTATTTAATCTTATCTTAACTATTTTTTTCTTGTCAACCAAACGAGGACTAAAAGGATTGTTTAACAGATTTTCTATCTTTTTTTACATCAGCTACTTTTGTCAATCTTCCTTTGAATGGTTCACTAAAACGTGCTTAAACACAAAACTCCGAGTCAATGTAAGGGGCATATTTGTCATTTGAGCATCCGAGATCTTACTGCTTGAAGCATAACCTCTGAACTTGAATTCGCAAAACTATCTAAAAGGGTAAACGAAGACAAAAACATAAAATAAATCGTACGAAATGCTGAAGAAAGTCGCAATCTGGTAATGTACGTGATGTTTACAAATAATCATTGGCATTATTGCGCTCTTTAGGATGCAAGTACATAAATCGGCAAACATGAGGACGGTGGTAAACTCATTTAGTTACATAAAACCATGGTTGAGGAAACACTAATATTCACTCCAAATAACAGATCCCGTAATAATACACACAAAAGCCACCAAATGTAACAAGCCATAAACGAGACAATCATCGCGAAACAACGTCCAAATCATTAAAAAACGTACAATCAAGAAAAAAAATAATAGGATCAAGTGAGGTCGTCCTCCTCTAGCTCTTTCGCTTTCACGGCCTCCTTCACTCTCAATAGAAGGGTTGTCTTCCAAGCATCCTATGAGTTAAAGAGTAATGGCAAAAGTTATATCAAGTACCAAAAGTACACAACTTCGGTTATAGAACAGATTAAGTTTAATCCGAGCATTCGAATTAACTAGTATTCACCATAAATATAACGTATTGAAAAGTTATGCAGGTAGTGTTTAGCACGAGCATTTTCTCATCGCAAATGTAAGAACTTGTTCTAATGATGCAAAATGTCGAAACCAAGTGAAAAAGGAAGCAAATGAAAAGGCAGAAGCAAGTTCAGTGACAAACGATGTTTCTAGATTCATCTTAAGGGAGTGTATTTGCAGCAGATATAGGGTTTTCTAATGAATCTCCACATTTTCAGTGATATTTTAAAGATTGCCTTTTAATAACGATTCGTAATCAAACCTTCCATAAAAAAATAAAAAAAAACCGGTGACTATCAGAAAGTAAAAATCCACGATAGGGATAAAAAAGGACTAACTGCCATAACCCAAAAGAGATGGACCCTCATTGGCTTTACCATAATAAAACATAATAAACAAAAGTGAGTTGAAAAAAGATAATAACAGAATAATTGGATTACCAGCTGGGTCATGCTGTCAAATTCCTTGACAGCATCAGTGAACTTAGCAATATCTTCTTCATCAACTGCAGCAGCTAACTCCTGCACCATATATATAATAATATAATATATCATCAGGTCACACCATATGGATTATAAATAATAATACGACCCATGGAAAAGCAATGGTACAACAAGTTTAAAGATAAGAAAACGTCCATTTGTTAAAAAATGAAGATGCACTCTGATAGATGAAGAACAAAAGTAAAGAGAAGACGGTAAATGAAACTGACGTTTAGGAGCCATGACATACCGATAACAATTTGTATTCACGTGTTCCAGAAAACGTGGGATCCAAGTCCTACAAATGAATACGAAAAAATATGCACGTCGTTAGCTCATATATAAACAAAAGTATTTAATTGCAAATCAGTACAGAAACAAGGTAGTACCTGGTATCTCTCTAATGCATTGGTAATTGCAACAACGTCACCCTTGCAGAGCTGGCAAATACCAGCATTAAGAAGGTGCCCTTTAACTCCATACTTCAGCAAGTTATTATTGAGAGACTGCCGTGCTATATCTTCATAAATATCGATGGATTTCTGATATCTGAGAAAAAACGTAGATCCATGAACCAAGCACACTAAAGAACTTTGTTGAACATAAACTTCCAGACTTGCAAAGCTTGGACTATTATTATTTCTGTAATCTGTAGTACTACTCTTGCCAGCTTGTATGAAACAGACACTAAAGTTTAACCAAGATAAAACTCAATAGATGGACACCGTTATTTGAATACAACTAAATGCATCTATGGTAGTATTAGTATATAATAGAACCAAAAAACAATTCAAGTTACTAAGATGAAACTCTTAAGATAATGAGGACAATGTTGATAATTTGTTTGAATAATGGATGCGGATGTTGACCATTGCTTCATTTTTGAGAGATGGGGAATTTATCTTTCACAATGGTATTTGTTAGCAGGACATAGCAATTGACAGCCAACTGTTGAAGTAACATTTATGTTGTAAATAAAGAGAGATTGATGCAATTTTTATCGATCAGAGAAATTTATTTTTCACAAAGTTGTGTCTTAGCACTTAGCAAGAACTGTCAATTGATATCTATGCATTCTAGTTATAGTGACGTTGCAAGCAAATAGCGATTGCAATTGACAAAAAAGAAAAGCTAAGAACATATACTTGCATTTTGGTCAATGATACTATAAATTCACATGTATGCATAATTTAAATGAAGTGCACGACATGCAATTAAAGCTACTCTTCTAAATCATATCACGAACAAATTGGAAAATGGACAGAATCAGTTCATATTTATGAAGCAAAAAATTAAAATAAAGGAAATGATGAAAGTGGCAACATGTCGTTATGTGGAGATAGAGAAGGCAAACTAACTGTTCCAGTTGAGCAGCATATTGAGCAATTTTCTGTTTGCACTGGTTTGCGGATGTTGTTACATCTTCACTTTGGAAGAGATCAGCAGCTCTCTCATAGTAAACAATAGCCTGCTCCAGGTTCTGTTCTTGCTCATACAACTCTGCAATTTCCTGCAAAGGGAATATCTCAAGATATTATCTTTGAATTTACTTAACGACGTGACAAAATTGTTTTAATTGACATCCTTAAGTAAGGAGGGATTAGTTATTCATCCTTATTTGTACAGAACTAAAAGGCTAAGATGAACTTAAATAGATATCGACATATTTCTGAAGTTTTTACCTTATAATATCTGGCAGACATATTAAGCCTTCCAATATCCAGAAATAAGTTTACTGATTGCTCTAGGCAAGGTATTGCCTCTGCAAAATCCAATGTGAATTAATGGAAGAATGCAGACAACTTCATAGCATGAGAATGCAGGGACAAAATTGACCAAAATGACATCCATTGTATGTTACTCGTGTAAACACAACCCTCACAAAGTTGAAAAACCAAATTGGATCTTGGAACGAGAACAACAAAATATGTGTGTGCTGCTTTACTAAAGAACACACAAGTAATTGCCCATACGCAACACTTATCTTCATACCTTTTGCGTTGCCTTTTTTGTAGCAGTGAGCAGCATCAGCATACGAGTTAGCAGCTTCATGTTTACTGTCCAACTACAAATAAAAATTGGGATAAGAACGATGTGCTAAGAACCACTAAACGGGAGGGGAGAGAAAAATCCACAAGCCTGCAGAAAACGTACCTTCAAGTGGCAGTTAGCCAACTTAACATACACGGCTCCAGCTTGATCCCCTGATAAGAAAAAATATTTTAAATTTCAAGGAATCAGAACAATTATTGAAACATACTCTATACATGCAACCAAGACTAACAAGGATATTTCCATAAACGGCAAATACTTGTGATTTCTTTATCTTTCTAACAAGATGGGTTCTAGAAGATTATATCAGCTGCCGAAATCCATCTAAATCAAGTTCCCATAAAAGCGCAACACAAAACAATGAACTAATCAAAAGCTGCAAATGCACGAATCACTAATCAGTCCAGTATTCCAGTGAGACATCAAATAAAACCTGGAATGCATCAAATAAAACCTGGAATGCCTTGAATTTAGATAAAGGAAAACGCCAAAGAAAATATTTTCCTCGTTTGGTTTTCCAAATAACACGAACTCACAAAGTAAATATTTGCACCATATGATTATGAGAGATATTCGCAGACCTCTATCCATTTTTTTCTATATTCAATCGCCTAAAATTGATATAAAAGGTATGCAAATACCAGGATTTTGTATCTAAACTTTTCCAATTCGTCATCCGCCTCAATAAAACCCAGATCCAAACATAAAATCATCAGGAAATCCAATCCATACCTAAGAAACTTATAAGAGATCATGAATGATTGGCACCTTTTTCAGCAGTTAACTTTTTTTCTAAGGTAAATGACGGAAATTATTACAATCACATCAAATTAAATTCCACAAAATAAATGAGAAAAGTCCACCGATCAATTGGAATTGGGTAATACGCATAAAAAAAAATAAAAAAATTACATGATTTGGCGAGCTTGAAGGCATTGGCGGCTTTATCGAACAAATCTGCGGCGTCTTCGTGTTTAGAGCCGAAGATGCCCCAGCCGCTGAGCTTCTTCTCAGCTTTCTTCTCGAAATCTTCGCCTCTGGCCACATGATCGCCCATTGTTAATTCCTTAAAAATGGTGGTCTGTGTTGCTGGATTTTGAAGGAAAACGAAAGAGTAAAGGAAAATGAATCAGAACAGAGAAAATGGGGGATGGGAGTGGAGATATCAAAAATGATTAATCATTTTTGCTATTGTCAAACAAAAGCACTTGTTGTTGACTTTTTGACTTTGTTGATATCAGCAGTTGAGTTGTGTATATATTGATTGCTTCAGCCCAATAGATTTTTTTTGGGCTCAAAATATTTAACGTTTAATCGGCCTAAGGTTACAGAAAAACGCAATTATGCTAATCCTATAGAGTAAAACTTCAATAAATTAATAATATTAAGATCGGGGATATGTTATTAATTTAGCGAGATAGTGAATTAATAATTTGTTATTTTAAAGAGGTTTTATGTATGACCTTTAAATTTCCAAGTTCAATCTACTAGTTACAAGACATATTCTATGAATGTACATTCACAAATTAATTGAATTTGTCAAGTTCATTATTTTTAATAACTAAAAAGTTAGTCCATGGTACCAACGCAATGCAACTCTTCACAACTTTTTGTTGCAATACGAGAAGACAATCGCCCAACTTTTAAGAGCAATGAGGAGATTTAAAGATGAACTCAATATAAATTTGAAGTTTCACAAAAATAAGTGACTATAGATTTATTTTTTACAATCTTATAATTTGGAATCTTTTAGTAATTATTATTTTATAGTTTCATTGGGACCAATATATATACACTGGAATTTCAAAAAAAAATTATTATCTTATTATTTTATCGATTAGGGTCCAATTTTGTACTGGTCCCAAGTTGGGACTAGACAAATTATTAATTTTATTGAGGTTATTAATTTATCAAGTATTAGTTTATAGAGGTTTTACTGTAGTGATTTACAATTGGGTATCAAATGACAAATATGATAAAGTGAAAGGGTTTTAAATACGATTGATAGAAATTTGATGTCAAATGATTTACAATTCGAACACACAAACAAAATTGCCCCGAGGGCTTACTTCTCAAGAGAGATTCGGTTTGTCTTTGTCCCCTCTCTTATGTTTGCCTTTTTTCCTCTCATTCGAATTTATAAATCAACCTACAGAAATAAGGCGATAAGTGGTGGATGATAACTTGCAGAACGTGTGTAAGTGAAGATGTTACAGATAACGAAGATGAACAAAAAAATCGATAAATGTTTTATCTATCTGCTAAAGCACTTTGAGATATTGTAAATTGAAATTGTTGTTGAACTCGTGCATGATATATTTGTTACAATATATAATATGTAACACATATCTCCAAAAATTTGAAAATATAGACCCAAGAATCGTCTCACCATCTGCAAGAGGAAAAAAAACTTAGATTATACATATGAACATTTACAAAAAAGAAGAAAAAACCCGTTACGTACTTTCGTACGTTGAAAATTGAAATTCTTATTAACCTCATACGAGTGAGAAGCTGATGAAGAAAATTATAAGAGTAGTTGTTGAGATGTTATAGATACTGTCATATAGTGGAGAGTTCTCGTGGTTTTCAATTTTTATATAGGGAGGTGCTAAATAGTACACTAAAAATTATTGAATCATGCACATAAATTACAAAAATTCTCTCTCTATCTTAAAATATTTTTCTCTCTAAGAGCAACTCCAATGGGGAGATATCAAAATGGAGCATTAAATATTCATTTGATGTTTTATATAATACTTTGATACTCTTGCTAAAAATTCACTCCAACCACATGTATCAAATAGATTATCAAATTTTAAGTATATGAATAATTATATTTTTAAATGACACGTGTTAAATAGTGATAGGTTAATTGGGTGGTTATATTTTTTTTACCTCATTTTCCGGGGAGTATTTTTACACTCCGGGTTGGTTGAGTATCAAAATGATTCTCACTTTAATGCCTCCATTGGAGGAGGATTTTTTAATTTTGAAGTATCAATGTGCCTCCATTGGAGTTGCTCTAAGAGGAACTCCAATGGGGTAATTAAATGGAGTATCAAATGGTAAAACTATCATTTTGATACTCCAAATCTCAAAAATTCCCCTCCAACGAAGGTATCTAAGTACTATTTTTTTGATACTTCACTTCCATGAGGTGCAAAAATGTAAAAAAAAAAAAAAAAAAAAAAAAAATCAAGTAATTCTGAAAAATCTCAACCGCAATGTCAAGTGTAATAAAATAAATCTCAGCAAATTTCCAAAGAAAACGGATAAGTAGGTTCCTTCGACCCTACACCCGGTGAAAAACACCGGGTGTAGGGTCGAAGGAACCTACTTATCCGTTTTCTTTGGAAATTTGCTGAGATTTATTTTATTACACTTGACATTGCGGTTGAGATTTTTCAGAATTACTTGATTTTTTTTTTTTTTTTTTTTTGTTTTACGGAAGGGGCGGG